GTTTTGAGTGGAAGAGCTGCTATGACCTCTACAAAGTTAAAGTATACAACAAAACAGAGCTGTGAGTAGTAATAGCAGGGGCATGTATATCTGAGTCAGCTATCTTCTATATAATTAAGATTCACTTGCAATTGAAATGTATAACAAAATGCATGAACATTCTATTCATCATCAGCTACACCTGTATTTATTCAGAGATGTTTCAGAGCAAATCAGCACATTTGTTTCTATGTTGAGAAATTCAATCTGAACAAGTTACATAAAAAAGTTGAGCTATCTATAGGGTTCTTCAGTCCATTCCTGTAATGATTGATATCCTAGCTCTTCAGTGGAAGTAACATTCTCCCCTGTTTGAGGTAAATGATCTCTTGCAGGCACACCATTTGGATACCTGGAAGAGGTAATTTATCTCAAGTGGGCAAACACTTTAATGAAGGCAAGAAGGTTGCCACCTGTCCAGTATTTACAGAGACAACATGGAAATCGGGGTCTTTGCCCACTGCCTATAAATACGCTGTCAAAGTTTAAGAAGGCAGCAGGGCCAACTACCTTTAGCATCACTTCACTTTCTGAGTAGTGAATTCAAGTCACCATTGTTGAACTTGCAGCTTCATGAAAAGGTATACAGTAATATACAGGTTCCACTGAGACATCAGGATACAAAAAAGAGATAAAATGACATTTATTGGAAAATGATATATACAAGGGACTTGGAAAGATGCATTTACTCCGAATAACTATGAGCTAGGAACTTTCCTTGGCCAAATTTTACAGATACAGATAGTGAGAATGAAAAAGGATGAAATGATTTTCCCAATGGCACACATGTAGTAAGCAGTGGAACCCAGATTCAAATTTAGAATCCAGGTTCCTAATCATTATAATCATATATATAATCATTCTATTATATATCGAACATGTGTAATTTTCTCTCCCAAACAGTTAATAGTTTAATTCAGAACTCACTCTAAAAAAGATAAGCACCTAACTTTCTAAAAGAGTATTGTACTGATATATTTAAGCTTTGAACAAAGATAACAGGAGAAGCAATAACTACTATTTAATATATTAGAAGTTACTACTTGGTATTGCCATACAGGTACTAGCTTTCCTGAAGCTAAAAAGAAAACAAGTGAAAATGAATGAAGTAATGCCATTTGCCACAACACGAAAGGAGCTAGAGACTGCCATACTAAGTAAGTCAGAAACTCAAATATACGATATCGCTTATATGTGGAATCTAAAATATGATACAAATGAACTTATTTGCAAAACAGAAACAGACTAACTGACATAGAAAACAAACTTATGGTTAGTAAAGGGGAAGGGGGAGGGATAAACTAGGAGTTTTGGATAAGCAGGTTTCAGTCATGTCCTATTCTTTGAGACCCCATGGACTATCTGTCCATGGAATTCTCCAGGCCAGAATACTGGAGTGGGTAGCTGCTCCCTTCTCCAGGGGATCTTCCCAATCCAGGGATCGAACCCAGGTCTCCAGCATTACAGGTGATTTTTGTACCAACTGAACTACCAGGGAAACACAGATATGAACTACTATATTTATAAAAGAGAGAAACAACAAAGATCTAAGATCTACTTTATAGCACAAAGAACTATACTCAATATTCTATAATAAACACTAAAAAAAAGAATATGAAAGATTATATATGTGTGTGTTTATATATATATGAATCACTTTGCTATGTACCAGAAACTAACACAATACTGTAAATAAAAAGTGACAGTGATGCCATCAGTACATAGTCCTGACAAGTAATACGATTTAAATTTTTAGCACTTTCTTCAAAAGGAAAAATAAAGAGGGAACAGAGAAGAAAAAGAGTTCTAAGCAATATTCTCTTTGATTTCCAAATTTTCACATGTCCTAAGTAGACTTTCCCAAGATTCTACGATTTCAGTTTCCCACATGGCTGAAAGAATCAAGGTACAACTCACAGTATTAGATGATCCAAGGGACAAAAAATCGATTACAAATCAAAGCTGAACTGATATTCTTGACACCTGGCCTAGGATGAAAACATCCTACTGTAAATTGGTTAAACAGATGATGGAACGTCCAACTAATATATATTACCCAGATATCACAATCACTCTCTAGAAGAATATTACCAGAAATAAATAATGGAATAGCATGTGAGCAACTTGCTTGCAAACCATGCAGCCAATATAATTCTCTGTGTGTACCTGCAACTTTTCCATAAGTCTGAGGCCGTTTCAATATAATTTTTAAATGAAGACATTAAAAAGCATGAAGCCTATGATATCATTTATATCACTTATCAGTCCGTTAATGGATGGATGAGTGGGTGGGAACTCCAAGAGACGGAAGGGAGAAAGGAAGGGTGAGTGGATTGAGAGAGAGAAATGTTTTCTTAATCCTTATATGTATACGAATTTATAACAAAACCATGTTTTAACAATTGGAACTGTAAGGGATGTGTAAATGGCCTTGAAATTTTAAGATAAACTAATGTATTTTCAACTGAAATTTACATTTTTATGAAATTTCATTATTATTTCATTAATGCAATAAATCTAAATAAAGACCTATATTTCAACTAAGAAAAGTTAGTAAAATAGAAAACAAAGACAAGTAAGTGCTTTACAAATTAACTCATTTAGTCCTCTAAACAATTCTGAGAAAAGTAATCCTATTCCCACTTTACAAGTAAAGAAACGGCAACAGAGGGTTTCAACAACTTGCCCATGTCACTTGGGGAGCATCAGTCAGTACTCAAAATCCGGAACACATACTTAACCCTACACCATGTTGCCTCCACGGCATAACAGCACTTAAGCAATTTTAGAACAGAAAATTAGTAATTAGCAGTTTAAAGATGTATACAGGAGACATGCATGTGTTCTTGTTCACTAACACGAGATGCTGCTTTCATGGTGAGATAGGGGGTAAGGGAAAAATTTTTTAACACCCGCTATATACCAGGTACCATACAAAATGTTCAACAAGCGTTATCATATTAATTCCTCATAACAACTGGGAAGACAGCAGTATCTTCATTTATAGGTAAAGACTGCGAGGCCTGGTAAAGTTAAGTAACTTGCCCAACTTCACACAACTAATAACTAGCAAGACTGAATATAATATCAAGGTTCACATTGATAATTTTTGTACTAGTTCAATAACAATTATCTGCCTGGGTCATATCCTTTCTAATATTCTTCAGTACTTTGATACACCTATTATTTTCCCTCTCTAAGCAACCCTCATTTTTCTCTTCTCTAAGCAGTGTTCTTTTTAAAAAGTGTTAATTTATGTATCTATTTAACTTTTGGCTGTGCTGGGTCTTCGATGCTGTGTGGGCCTCCAGCTTCAGAGAGCGGGGGCCGCTCTCTAGCGGTGGTGCGCAGGCTCCCCATGGCAGCGGCGCCTCTTGCTGCGAAGCACAGGCTGGAGGGAAGGCGGGCCCCAGGAGCTGCAGCGCGAGGGCTCAGCAGTTGCAGCTGCCCAGCTCCAGAGTGCAGGCTCAGTTGCGGCACACAGGTCTAAAGGCTCCATGACATGCGGGATCCTGCGGATCAGGGATCGAACCCATGTCTTCTGCACTGGCAGGCAGATTCTCCACCACTGAGCCACCAAGGAAGGCCCCAAGTAGTGTTCTTTATCCAACAAGATTAAACCTTCCCTAAAATAAGTTTTCTTGAACTTGCTATTTCCTCCAGCTAGAGGTATACCAGGTTCTAACATCCAAGGCAGCTAGTTCCTGAAAGTAGGCATGCACTTACAAACACTATTCTTGGTCTACCTTCCACTTGATCGTTCTTACCTATACTTATTGCTACCAATATTCTTAAAATATATTTATGTACACTTTTATTTCAGACTCCAAGCCAGTATGTTGAGGTTTTGCCAATATATTAAAATATGCATATTTCTTACCAACATTTATAGAAAATTCTAAAAATAATCTTTGAATCGTAAGCTTTGTACTACAGGAGCCTAGGTTTAGAAGTTTGAAATCACAATAAATGATCTATATTTACACAGAAGAATTGTTTAAAGAATTAAAATAAATCCCAAATTATTTCATTAATACTTAGAATATTTTATTACACAGTCAAGTATTAACAACTCTGCTATACTCCTTTTTTTTGCCATTAATGTGACTGAAATGACCATAATTAGTCCAATGACATAGCTTAAGCAGTAGGTAACTGTATGTTACTCTTTTAGTGCAGAGAAATCAGTTTTCATTGAAACTTTCACACAAACAAGTCATGCAATCTGTCACAAGAAAATACACTTGAATTTTAGACCGTTGGAAATTGCTGGTTATTGGTGGTTTCATCTAGTGCAAAAGAGCAGACTATTCAAATTAACTCTAGGTGGTGGTAAAGAATCCGCTTGCCAGTACAGGAGACACAAGAGACACGGGTTCAATCCTGGGTCAGAAAGATCCCCTGGAGGAGGAAAGGGCAACCCACTCCAGTATTCTTGCCTGAAAAACGCCACTGTCAGCAGAGCCTGGTGGACTACAGTCCATAGGGTCGCCAAGAGTTGGACACAACTGAGCACACACACACACACACACACACAAAACTAAACAAAAATAAAAAATAAAAAAACACTGCCATATGAGAGAGGAAAATTTTCTGCTAATTCACTTATTATTCAACTGTCTAAAATTCACAGCCAGAAACAGAAGGAAGACTAAAACATTTGAAAGAATGTTACCAGCAATTCTTAATAAAAAAAGCTAACGATGAGCTTTCCATAGGAAAAGCAGATCCTACAGGGGAAAAAAAGGTGGATGTATTCACCATTTCTCCATAAAGACAAAATAATACATTAAAAATTGCATTAATTCACCACTTCATTAAATATAGATTTAATCATCTATCTGAATAAAAGAAAGATAAATACATTTTCTTCTTTGAAGGTTTATCAGAATTTGTACCAAAAGGCATTTCTGGACATTAACTTTTGTATTTTCCAAGGACATAAAAAAAGGGAATCATACCTGTTTTACTAATAGCTTCCTGTAATTCAGCCATGGAACTGATTATTGCAACAAGAAGGTCCGTACTGGTGAGCCAACTGAGAGCTTGCAAACAACGAAACTGCTCCTTTTGATGTTCTACAAAAATAGAAAAAAACCATTATGCAATGCTACAAAAATGTATTAAAATTCATTTTAAAATTATGGGAATGTTTAGCTATTTAAGAAATAGATAAAAATTGTACATAGAACTTCACCTAGCATGTTGAAGTCTATAATAAATGTTAGATTTATTGACTCTATTTATATATATAAAATGGTAATGGTAACTGACATCATAAAAAAAGAGAAGAAAATTTTCTTTAGTTCTACTTATATTATTTAATAGCTTACTTTTGAAAAGTTAAAAATTGAAATAATTGTTGACTCAGAATAGTCACGCATTCCGGGACTGACACATAGACACTACTATGTGTAAAATACTATGTGCAAAATATGTTCCAAGATGCTTGCTCCTTGGAAGAAAAAGTATGACCAATATAGACAGCATATTAAAAAGCAGAGACATTACTAACAAAGGTCCATCTAGTCAAAGCTATGGTTTTCCCAGTAGTCATGTATGGATGTGAGAGTTGGACTACAAAAAAAGCTGAGCACCGAAGAATTGATTCTTTTGAACTGTGGTGTTGGAGAAGACTCTTGAGAGTCCCTTGGACAGCAAGGAGATCCAACCAGTCCATCCTAAAGGAAATCAGTCCTGAATATTCATTGTAAGGACTGATGCTGAAGCTGAAACTCCAATCTTTTGGCCACCTGATGAGAAGAGCTAACTCATTTGAAAAGACCCTGATGCTGGGAAAGATTGAAGGCGGGAGGAGAAGTGGACACAGAGGATGAAATGATTGGATGGCATCACCGACTCAATGGACATGAGTTTGAGTAAACTCCGGGAGTTGGTGATGGACAGGGAGGCATGGCACGCTGCAGTCCATGGGGTCGCAAAGAGTGGGACATGACTGAGCGACTGAACTGAACGGACTGATGTGCAAAACAGTTAGCTAGTGGGAACCCGCTGTACAGTGCAGAGAGCTCAGCTCAGTGCTCTGTGGTTACCTAGACTGCTGGGATCAGTGGGTAGGAGGGAAGTCCAAGAGGCAGAGGATTTATGTATACATACAGCCAATTCACAGAAGAAAGTAACACAACATTGTAAAGCAACCATTGTGAAGTCACTCAGTCGTGTCCCAACTCTTTGCGACCCCATGGACTGTAACCTACCAGGCTCCTCCGTCCATGGGATTCTCCAGACAAGAATACTGGAGTGGGTTACCATACCACAATTTAAAAAAAAAAAAAGGAATAGTCAAGCATTCAAAAAAATGTTTGCTGTAAACTCACATTTGTTCCATTTTTATTCATCAGTAGATTTTTAACTCTTTCTAACTCAAATGAAGCAAAAGTAATTTATGCTACTAATTAATTTTAAACAGGGCAGAGTTTCTGGATTGACTTTACTGAAAAATCACTGTACAAACTCTTCAATTTACTGTGAAAAGAACACTGAAATATAATAAAGCTATACAAAATTGAAATTACATATACTTGCTACCTTGTTTATATTTTAATGTTTACAACAAAAGTCAAAACCTAACTTACATATAGATATAGTTATTCATACACACATATAATTCTATTGATACCTATATATGTAGATATGTTACATGATTTGACATTGTAAATCATTTTTTAAAATCTTTGCATAACGGGCCAACATATTCACTTTGGATGTCACTTACATCCAACTTAGATTTTTAAAACCCAAATGATCTTACTTGGAACTTTATGCTTGTCTTTGAGCTCTCCTGTACACACTAACACGCCTATGCCTTCTCTGAAACTCTCCATCCAGGTAAAAAGAGAGACACACGACTGGGCCAAAATTTTGAGCCTGTTTGCTGCCAAAATTGCAATAACACCTTTCCGGAATACACGTATCAATCCTTTGAATGTTTTTTTCTTCATCTTGGCTTCCTCTTGCTTCTTTTCTTCTACTGTTGACAAAGCCTGGGCTAGAGTTCTAACTTCCAATTTTAACAACTCAAAAGTGTTGACCTGCTCCTGGAGAAAATCTCTCTGTGTAGATAAGGCAGATGATCGGCTGTAGAGAGGATAGAAGGCGCCAGCCATCAATGCACAGGCTGCCAGCAAGGAGGTCTTTTCCCTTTTGGTCTGTGATAACAAGTTTTTGAAGTGGGAATTTTCAAACACCAATTGTTCGTGTGACTTCTCAATACGGTTCAATTTTTCCATATTTTTTTCAGCGATTTCTTGAAATTTCTAAAAGAAGAGAAGTCAAATAATATATTTGATCAAGAAACAAATGGGCATTTTAACCCATCTTTAAAAGAAAAAAAACGTTTGCTGACAACTATTTCTTTTTCTTCCCAAGATCTATGTTCTAAAATATCAAAAAAAAAAAAAACACCAAAACCCACGTATGACAGAGCAATAGTGGGCCAAACAGCCTAGATCCAATGTGCACAGGTTTTAAATCCTTTTATGTGGAAGCTTTACATAAAGTAGAACACATCAATTTTAAAATATTTTGTAAATTTCTTGTACACTTTCACATACATACACATACTCAAAAAAAAGAAAATTTCTTCTCTTCTATTCCTCAGTAACAATTATTTCCTATTTTTAAACAGAAATCACACCAGCATTAGAGTCTTTTCTATATGTAAAAAGACAACTTTTTGTCAGAATAGCAAAGGATTAAATAAATAATACAACACACACCATCTGACTATCTGCCACTTAGTAGATGAGAAGGGACTGATTCTAAGAATACACTCTCTTCCTTCAGTTTCTTCTTTCCCAAGACAGAAGGCTGCACAAAGCAAAGCGTCAGTGCTGGGGAAAAATGTTAATTGTGGGGTGGGCCTCAGCAGCTCCTGGTCCTTTTTTCCTCATCAAGGTACTTATAATTCAAAACTTAATACGGAACACAAAGAAAATTTAACTGCAGGCACTTGATTTTAATCTAGAAATAAACTAGAAAATAAATTAACTCTCCATGAAATCTTATGTCTTATCATTAAGGAATTACTGAAGTAAATTTTTAGAAGATAACAGATGCCAACTTTTTTACTGATTCATTTATCATTCAATAACATTTATCGATTACCCAGTAAATTCCATATGCTAGGAAAACAGACAAATAAATCAGTGATTGCGGTATAACATGATGGTGGAGCTACACTAGATTACCAGAAATGCATAAAAGGGTAGAGAGGCAGCCGGAAACAGACAGTCCTGGGATAAGGATGAGAAATTAAAACACACCTAGAAACTGATAAAAATCTAGAATGTATGACAAAAATACTCCTCTCTATATAGAGAAAACAGGAACACAATGGAATTTTTGGAAAACAGAATTAAGAGGCTAGACTTACACAGCCCATTTTCATTTTAGGCTACCTGGTAGAAGCAGCCAATATCTAAAACATAAAAGAACTCATACAACTCATCAACAACAAACAACTCGACTAAAAAATGGACAGACATCTGAACACACGTTTTTCCCGAGTACACATGAAAAGGGCCAACAGGCACATGAAAAGATGTTCAACACTGCTAATTATCAGGGAAACGCACATTAAAGCCGCAATGAAATATCATCTCGTTACCTAACCGGGTCCGACTGCCGAGGTGCAGCGAGCCAAACGGCCAGACAGAGATTTGCAGCAGAGAAAGAGTTTATTCACGAGGCAGCCAGGCGAAGAGATGGGAGAACAAATCTCACATCCACCTCCCCAAAGGCCACGGGCTGGAGACGGCTCTGGGTAAAGCTGCGGTGTGGGGAGCATGAAGAGAGGTAATTGGAGATAAGAAAGAGGTGAGGGATCATCAGTCTGCGCAGGCGCAACTAAGCTATGTGCTTCTCCACGGGACGCACGTTCTGAGGGTGGAGTTTTTGCTCTTCTGACGTCAAGAGGTCATCCCATTTGGAGGGATGGTAATCCCGCCAGTCCTAACCAGCTCAGACTCTAACTGGACACAGCTGACTCCAAGTTCCTGAAAAACCAACTCAGGCAAACATCTTTTAGGCTACATGATGCTTAGAGGACAATTTAAAGGAAGCTTGATCAATGAAGGCAGAGTACAGTTAATTATTTATTAAGCAATTTACAGTTTAATGGAGCTAACTGATGACTACCCTTGGTCTCAATCTCATGCCCATTAGAATGGCTATTATCAAAAAGACAACAAATAAGTATTGGTGAAGATGTGGAGGAAAAGGGAATTCACGTGCTATTGGTGGGAATGTAAACTGATGCAGTCACTACAGAAAACAGTATAGAAATTACTCAAAAAATAAGTATATAACTACCATATGATCCAGCTATTCTACTTTTCCATATAAATCAAAATATGAAAAAAGTAACTTGAAAAGATATATTGTTGCATTGCACGCTGCAAGTCTTAAAGTTGCCCAGCCTCAACACCAAAAAAGGAGCCTGGAGACAGTCGCAGACACATCAGTGGTTTGTTGCAGCAGTCCCCAACCTTTTTGGCACCACAGACCAGTTTCACGGAAGGCCATTTTTCCACGGACCGAGAGTTGGGTTTCTGCACTTTATTTCTAATCTAAATGCTGCTGCTCATCTGACCAGCGGGTACCAGTCTGCAGCTCAGGAGTTAGGGACCCTTGATTTATTGGATAGAGGGATCTTAAACAAAGGGTCCTGGAGTGACACCCCACCATGTGTGGCAGATGCTGGGCAGGACCTGGGAACAGTCTTTGCTACTCAGGGGAGGAGGAGGCCACCATTTATAGAGGGAATTGACATCAGGTGGGCTCATCAGTTTCCAGGAGCTAATTAAGCCTGATAATTAAGAGAACTGGATATTCACGTGAGTGAAGCAGGGACTGGTCAAACAGGGGATGTACCAAGAGCAAGAGAACAGCCATCTTGAATGGCCTGACCATACATATGTTCATCCCTATGTTTATCACAGCACTACATATGAGAGTCAATACATGGAAACAACATAAGTGCCCGTTAACAGATGAACAGATAAAGAAGATGTGGTATATACACACAGTGCAATACTATTAAACCATAAAAAAAAAGATGAAAACTAGTCATTTCAACAACAGGGATGGACCTTGAAGGTATTATGCTAAATGAAGTAAGTCTGACAGAGAAAGACAAATACCGTATGATTTCACTCATGTGGAATATAAAACACAAAGAACAAAAAAAATGAAAAAAAAAACCAAGCCAAAGCAAATATAGATACAGAGGACAGAGTGGTGATTACCAGAGGGAAAGGTTCTGGGGAGGACAAGATGGTTAAAAAGGGATCAGCTGTATGGTGTTGCATGGAAACCAGACTTGTGGAGGTGGGCATGCTATAGTGTTTTCAGAAGTTGCATTAAAATGTACATGTGAAACTTAAATAATGTTATAAATAAGCTACCTCAATTTTTTAAAAGAAGAAATTATCAAAAGAATACATGTAGAGTCTACATGTAAGTAAGAAAACAATCTCTAAAGGCTGTTTAATTGCCATATGTTGTCCTAAGTCATTCTTGGTTTGAGTAATTATAATCAAGATAACAAATATTAATGTTTATCAAAACAATCAACAAGGACAATATTGAACTAAATAACTAGAGTTAGCAAAGTGAGATATTTGAATTAAGGAATTTAAAATAATGAAGTCCTTAAATTTTTAAAGTTCTTACTGACAATGTTAGATTAAGAAAACCACACTAATATTAATGCTAATAAATACTAAGAGTTTTGATTCTTTTTTGACAATTATATCCCCTCATTCCTGGTAGCTCTACTGAAATCCGTAATTACCGATCTGGCTGCCCATTAGGCCAGCGGTCCCCAACCTTTTTGGCATCAGGCACTGGTTTCATGGAAGACCATTTTTCCATGGACAGCAGGAGCAGGGGCAGGTGCAGAGACAGTTCAGTCAGTGATACAAGCAATGGGGAGTGATGAGGAGCAGCCAATGAAGCTTTGCTCACTTACCAACCTACTCCTCACCTCCTGCTGCACAGTTGGCCCACGGCCCGGGATTTGGGGACCCCTGCAATAGGCCTCTTCCCTTAGATACCTCATAACCATCTCAAGTACTGCTGTTTTTCCTATTAAATCTGCTTATAATGTTCAGTTGCTAAGTCGTGTCCAACTCTGACGCCATGGGTTGTAGCCTGCCAGACTTCTCTATCCATGAGATTTCCCAGACAAGAACACTGGAGTGGGTTGCCATTTCCTCCTCCAGGGGATCTTCCTGACCCAGGGGTCAAACTCGCATCTCCTGCATTGGCAGGCGGGGGCTTCACCACTAAGCTACCTGGGAAGCCCCATGCGTGTGTGCGAGTACTCAGTCACTAAGTCCTGTCCGACTCTTTGAAGCCCTGTGGACTACAGTCTGCCAGGCTCCTCTGAATTCCAGAATGGGCTGCCATTTCCCCCTCCAAGGGCCCTTCCTGACCTGGGATCAAACACAAGCCGCCTATGTCTCCTGCACTGCAGGCAAATTCTACACAACTGCACCATCTGGGAAGCCCTCTGTTATTTTGTTGTCACTCAGTCATATCCAACTCTTTGCCAGCCCACAGCAAGCCAGACTTCCCTGTCCTTCACTATATCCCAGAGTTTGCTCAAACTTATGTCCACTGAGTCGGTAATGGCATCCAACCATCTCATCCTCTGTTGCCCCCTTCTCCCTGCCCTCAGTCTCCCAGCATCAGGGTCTTTTCCAATGAGTCAGCTCTTCACATCAGCTGGCCAAAATATTGGAGTTTCAGCTTCAACATCAGTCCTTCCAATGAATATTAAGGACTGATTTCCTTTAGGATGGACTGGTTGGATCTCCTTGAAGTTCAAGGGACTCTCAAGAGTCCTCTCAAGCACCACAATTTGAAAGCATCAATTCTTTGGAGCTCAGCCTTCTTTATGGTCCAACTCCCAGGTGGCGACAGTGGTAAAGAACCCACCTGCCAATGCAGGAAATGTAAGAAAATCAGGTTCAATCCCTGGCTTGGAAAAATACCCTGGTGTAGGAAATGGCAATCCACTCCACTATTCTTGCCTGGAAAATCCCATGGACAGAGGAGCCTGGCAGCCTACTGTCCACAGGTGCACAAAGAGTTGGACACTACAGAAGCAGCTTAGCATGCATGCATGCTCATATCCACACATGACTACTAAAAAAAAACATAGCTTTGACTATATGCACCTTTGTCACAAAGTGATGTCTCTGCTTTTTAATACACTGTCTAGGTTTGTCATAGCTTTTCTCTCATGGAG